TTATACAAAATGTTCGGTGATTTTTAGTGTGCTTATGAGGAAGTTTGTGATGGAAATACAGTGATGTAAATGTGCAATTTTTTTAAAGAGAATCATTGTAGTAATATATCAGTTACATATTGAGGCTTTTAACAATTATATTATAAGTATTTTTAGAAATAAATCTTGCCCTCCTTTCTTGTTTGAAACCGTATTAAGTTACAATTTGCAATTGCAAACAAAGTTACAATGCCGTTGTCTTAGTTTAGTAGCTTATATCATTTTTTTATAAAGTTCAAATAAGTAATTTTTTCAAGTAATTTTGCATAAAATAAATATATATTATCAGTTTATAACAATAACTGTCTTTGTTTGTTTTGGTTTACGATTTTATTTAACTTAGCAAGAAAATAATTTTATTTAAGAGTTCGATAAAATAAAACTGGTTTATTTATGGGTATAAATTATGAACATAAAGACATTTAGGTATTATAATATTCAATAAAAAGGTTATAAAAGTCTTGCTATGTTGCAAATTGTTATTACAAAATATTTAATAATCTCTATAAAGATTAAAGTTTTCGCTAATTACCTAAGACGTCCGTTTATGGCACTCAACCGAGTGTGGAGTTACGCTGTCAGTATATTATAACATTATGATGTCACGTTTAGCGAAATTACGGACGAATTGCCTAATACACAACTGCCTAAATTACCAGTAACTTATTCGAGTCTTCAATTACTTTTAATTAAAACAAAATATATAGTATTCAAATAACATAAATATATAAATTTAACACAATAAAACAGGTTAACGGTTTAAAACGCGAAATAGATTAGTTTAGCTTGTTTTTTACTTATATTGTAGCAGCCGTGGTCATGAGGGTTACTCCGTCGCCGCAAAGCATCAGTAAAGTCGGGCTGTAATTAAAATAATTTGTAAATAAGTTTACCTTATATATTTCACGTTTTAAACCGTTAAAGTGTTTTATTTAAATATGTACTCGCGTAAACTATACACAATATATAACATAAATATGCTTATTTATAGAACTATCTATGAAGGTCCCAATACTAAATATAAATTATATCTACACATCAGTTGTGGCGTTATGTTTTAGCGGATACTTGCTAATTAGGACAGCCAATAACGGTTGCGAATAACACTAAATTGTCGTGAGGTGTATTAACTATGGTACTTCTATTTATAGTATTATACAACTTACGTATGTACATATATTTTTACTTTTGTATTTATACATATACACATATATGTGTAACAGAGATTTTTTTTAAATCCACATACTACATACGTAGTAAGGTACTTCAGACCGAAATTAAGTAGATAAATATTTATAGTTCTATGTACCTAGATATATACATGGGTTTGTCCTAGATGTATACATGGGTCACTTTAACCTAATATTATCCATTAATACGGCAGAGGGTAGCTAAATAGAATTCGTTTTTTTTTTATTAGAATTGGCTTTTAAAACTAAATCGATTGTAATGTATAAACTTTAGTATACAGATATTTTGTAACATTTATATATAAAAACGAACAATTAAGTAATCGTAGATCAGCGTTTAAAATCAAACAGTAAGACGGTTACATAAAATACGTTAGAAATCGCGTGCAAGGTCTCAATAAATTCAATATTTATATCAGTTTCGTTTGATTCTTATTACCATTAGTTTTTAATTTAAGTAACTCCCACGCAGACTACGTAGAGTAACAGAGAAATATAGAAGATCCATAAATGTTTATATTTTAAGTTACAAGGACGATATAAGTACCGTTTCTGAAAAAAGCTGATATATTTTTGTCTGGATTACTGTATTATATTTAGACAAGTTAATAAGACTCACACGCCATTTACTCGAGTTGTACACATTTAAATAAAGAACTGTTAACGGTTTTAAACGCGATCATTTGAAACATCAGTAGGCACGTAATTAAATAAAAATAAGTTATTTAATATTTTTCGCGGTATTTCATTTGATTCGTAGTAAATCATATCTCACACTTAACGCAAAGCTAGGTACCTAATTTGTTGAGTTACGAAACTTTACAAATACAAGCATATCAAACTAAACAAAAAACGCACGTGTTATTCTTATCCGAAATAGAGATCTATTTTGTCCTATTTTGGTTCATTATTTCCTTCTTAGTAAAAAATACAAATAATAAGTAATAGAAATACTTTACAATAGAGGCGTTGACCGCAAAGAAACGGAACTTCAGATAACTGGTTAAAAACAATGTGTATATGGCAACATTAAAAATTTTAAACAATGGACTAACACACCGTTGTAATCCTTACTAAATTGCTCTAGTTACGAATTTGAGAGACTATGATTTTGTAAATTGGGAAACTTTTGAAATCCAACTACGTAACTAAGTTTAAAATTTGCTCCAGATATTTAATGAAAAAGTATAACTAGCTTAAATTTAAAGAACTTGGTTTAACATTTAATTTATAAACAAACACAATATTCTACTTATCGTTAATCTATAATGTTAGGTAAAACGAATGCAACATCTATTTTAAGCTAAAACAATCTAAGTAGGCTTGTAAAAGCATACTTTGACATTTGAATAATCTTAAAACGGCTGTTAATATGTAAAACGCGCACTAAAATCGTTGATAAGCATTTCGACTTAGTTATGCCTGCCACATATGGGATTTATTAGGATTATTAATGGAGCCACAATGTTTAAAAAGATTCATGTATCAAATGATATTTGAGTTACGTGGTCATTTACAGTGATCGGAAGAATAAACGAACATACATGTTTTTATTCTTAATTTAATGTTACTAGAGTGTAGAATATTCTAATAAAAATAGTAATTTTTAATGGCAAAATCCTTCTTACCTCGTGGTACGAACACATTTTACTCGATTTAGTTACAGACAGACCCCTTATCTTGTGCTCTGCTCAACAGAGAACAATTTATTATTTCCCCGGGTTTCGAATGCAAGACTTCACTATTATTTAACTATTGCGATGGTGTATAACAATAAATGGCTAAAAACCAAAGGTTCGTGGATTCGATCCCCACCGGTTCCAACATAGTGGACCTGGTCTGGAAACCTGGATATTAAATGGATGGTAGGAATATCGAGATTCCGTCCGGGTCACGAAACACCGTCCCCTATAAATAAATGTAAAGTCATGAGTCATTGAATACATAGGCCATAGAGACATTAAGTAGAAGCACCGAGTGAGTCGTAAACATAACACCTTACGTTACGACGTGGATAGCGTTCAACGAATTTACGATATTCGAAATGCAAATTAAGCGATGTCTTTTAAAATGCAGTGGTCGTAATAAAGTTCGAACGTTACGGTTTTGATCTAGATAGTATAGAAAACACATAAACGGATGGAAATATTCAATTAATAAAATAAACATAACTACAGAATTCTTAAAATGTTGTATATAATATTGCTAAGAAAAGATACATTCAGCGTGAATATTATGTTAAATATATACGTATATATTTTAGGGATGAAATTCCTGAAAAATCTTATAGGAACTGCTAACACAATACTTCGACTGTGTGCGTAATGGTAAAGCAAGATAAAACCAAAATACATAAAAAATATCTAAAATTTTCAGCGTAGGAATCGAATACAAGACAACAATGTTGTGGCACAACACTTATATAAGATTTTGAAAAAATATTTCAAGTGAGATCATTTTATGAAATATCTTCGCCTTAATCCGTCACTATCTATATTTGGTAAAGCAATAAAATGAAGCCGAACTGTTAGGTAACTTTGAAACCTGATCTAGACATCTAGGCTAAACTAAACATCTTACTAGAATATATTTCTATTTCTATATTAAGGTTAGACAACTTTGTTTATTGAAATTATTATTTCACTTTTTAAATAAACTGATTTTAACGGGTTAAAACTCGATTGTTTGTAAGTTAATAAATATCACCAATGCTTTATTGTGTTCGCGGTTGCAGTATTTGTTAAATACACGATGTTTTAACTCGTTTGAACTACTTTTATTTTGACACCTCTCGTATAACGTTGGTACAGATTGTGATATTTTAAAATGAATATTTGCTACAGATAAAACAATAAATACTAGTCGAATAGAAAGGGCTTATGTTAATCTACTAAACTTAATTACTGCTTAACTTAAGGTGAGTTTTCTTGGCCGTCCTGGCAAACACTTTTTTTGCCATATAGTATTTTTTAGATTATTTAAAGAGGAATAATTCACCTCTGCACACTTTTTGGTATCTTGAACCGGTTTCACAGCGCACGTAACAATAGTCTTCAAAAATTAATAATTTTCCCCGTTTTATTTACTGATTGTTCGCTCTTATTGGTAGCTTAATGTTTTACAGCTAAAAGGCGACCTCAGTAAACTCTCCAACCAACAAAAAAAATTCTTTCAATTCGAACCACTAGTTCCCGAAGTTTGCGCGTTCAAACAAACTCGCCAGCTTAATATTAGTATAGAGTACACGTTGGGTAATTTTAACAAGTTGATATCTTTATATCAAACAATAGCTTACATGCAAATAAGTGTATGTAACATTTCGCCAAATACAGCGACAATGGCGACACATACGCCTTTGTCTCGGGTCTGTTATTCAATTCTTACGGCTATATCCCCACAAGTATTTGTAAATACTATAAAACATATTGAGCAACTGTCTTTAATATTGTTGTATTTAGTAACTACCCTTATTGTCTTTATCATAACGTTCTGTGACTTTTTGACTTGGCGATTTGCATTAAACGCCTAAAACCCTAGATTATAATCCCAGATTATAATAGTTACCAAATCGAGGAAGGCAAAGAAGTATAATAAACCACTTTCGTACAAATAAAACTGATTTGTGAAACAAAGTACACTAAAAGGAGTTTTTCAAAAGTGTAACTAATTTTTTCTGTTTATAAAGATTAAAAGTCTCAATACAAATAACGTTAACTTTCCTTATTTCCAATTCGATGAAGTGATAAATTAATACTCAGCGTCGACAATGTAATGGCTAAAACGGTCAGGAAGGTAAAACGAGGTAGATCTAAAGAAACCAGTAATGCCATCAAGGCACCAGCAATCATAGTAACTTCGGTGGATAATACAGAAATGACAGTCAAAGCAAACGCGCAAAAAGTTAACGATCAAGCCTACATCGCAACTATCGATGAGAATAAAAACAAAATGGATTTCAGTGTGAATCAACTCATAGCCGAGCTGTCAGAGAATTCTCGAGCTTCTAAAGGAGAGATCGAGCAGATTCAAAGAAAACTACTCCAGCAGGCGAACGAAATCTTGAAAGTCAACGCCTTTGCCAACCAAGAACCGCGGGTAGTCAGCACAACTCAGAAATACGGGCCCATCTATGGAATCCCACATACGAATAGACTTCAACAGCCTCAATTAGTTCCAGAGAAGTTAACAAATAATTCTAGTGCAATGATAAGCACGCAAAGGGTCACAGCTGAGGCGGGAGCTTTTTTCTCAGAAACAGGTTCTGCCTCGCTCGTCGCCAGTCCGCGCGCCGCGCCCATAAGAGGTGAATGTCTTTAATTTAAGGCTTTAGTTTTAAATGAGAATGAGTGTTATTTGTTAAATTGTATGCTCTATGTGTGAATACATCGTGTGGATTGCGAAAATTCATTGTTGAGGACGTAAAGGTATGTACTTAGCTTCGTTATTGCATGTTTAAATAACTGTTTTGAGCGGTAAGGTTATTGTTTTCACTTAACTTTGACTATCCATTTCCTTGAAAGAGTATTTCAAATTGACAATATGTGCATTCATATTAGATTCAGAAATGAGATGAACAAAACCGGTGCACGGTAGCTCGAGTGGTACTGTAATGGTACGCTAATGGTTGTGAGTTCGAATTCCACGCATGTCATGGTTTTTTACATTATATAATCGTTTTCTAATTGATATTATATGTTCTTATGTAAAATAATGTTTCACTCATTTCTGTTCTTATCGTTATTTTCGATAGTTATGTTATGTTTTAGAATGTCTAACTCAAACCCAATTTCTAATTGTAGAGCTATCTATATCTGTCTCGTAAATTGTAGGTCTAGATTTGGTCAATGCTCGTAAAATTACGATACAAGATTATTGAGACAGTGTGGGTAGGTATTGAAAATAGCGTTCACAAAATTTTAAGCCCAAAAGCGTATTGCTTACTATTACACCATAATTTGGTTCAAGTTTAATATACAGAATTGTAAGATCCCAGGTAGTGACGAGATCCATTAAAAATAATGGGTTGATTTGGCAGTTGTGTAGCATGAGAATATGCGGTGGGATTTTCAACATCAGCGTTTAAAGTCTGGGCATTAAAAATGTGTCTTAAACATTGTTGATAAAAGTCAGTTGATCAGCTTCTAAATGTCATGACTATTTAAATACCTAAACAGTTAAAACGCGATATATAATAGTTAACTTATTTAAATAAAACACTTTAACGGTTTAAAACGCGATATATTAGTTAAACTTATTTGGAAATGATTTCTAACTTCGGCCCGACGTTTCGGATGCTTTGCAGTCTCCCCGTGACCACGGCTGCTGCAAAGCATCCGAAACGTCGGGCCGAAGTTAAAAATCATTCCCAAATAAGTTTAACTAATATATCGCGTTTTAAACCATTGAAGTGTTTTATTTAAATGTGTACTACTCGCGTAAACTATAGACAGTATTTACTTAACTTATTGTTAACTAATACTTGAGTTTGTTTCTAGTGTTTTATTTAAATAGGCATACTACTACTCGCGTAAATTATTATATATTTCCTAACGCAAACTTTTGGGTTCAAATCCTGGAAAAATATAGTAAATAGGTAGTTTTTATATTTTAATCTATAACACACATAAATGAAACCTCCACGCAAGTGTTGACGTCATGAAATTTAAATACTTATATGTATAATTGTACAGTTTATCTATATCCAATACAACATTTTAGTTTGAATTTCTATTCATTAGCAAAAAAACATAGTTATAACTTATATGCCAAAGCTAGTTGGATAGTAACACACAATAAATATATATACCTAATAGGCCTTATGAAAACTGTTTGCGTACTTATTAGGAATTTAATTTTGCATTCCTACATGCAGCTATGAAATTTCTGTATAGAATATAAATAGGAAAATTATTGCGGAGATTGATGATACAGGAGACAAGAATCTCAAGCTTTTTATTTATTAAAAGTCTGTGGTCGCTCACGATGACCACAGACTATAACAATAAAAAAAGAATATAGATATAATAATTATGAGTGTGTGTTATAAATAGTTGAAACACACTAGTGCGGTGTCTTAATTTTTTCTTTATTGGTACACTAGCTGAGTCACGCGACTTCGTGCACGAAGAATAATTATTTTGGATATCAATTTATGTTTTTGCAAACGCCCTGTTCGACTCTATAAATTCGAGCTGTTGTCACGCCGTCGTCCGCTTCCCGTCGTTCTTGCAAGTTAATTTTGGAAGATAGACATATACTGTCGCGGACTTTTTTTTAGATCATTTAAAAATGAATTATTCTCTCATACATATTTTTTGTGTATCTTGAACCGTTTTCGCAGCATCGATAACCTACAAAGATAAATAAAATAGACAACATAGATAATTTCCCCCGTTTTCACCGCGTTTTTACCGCGTTTTCCCCTGTTTCTTCGCCCCTATTAGTCACAACGCTAAGTTGACGTATAAAAAATACAATTCCTACCATTAGTTTCTGAGATTAGCGCGTTCAAACAAACAAACTCTTCAGCTTTATATATTAGTATAGATTTATTATACTGTAACATAATTTAGAATAAATTTCCTTTTACACTACTCCTACATATAAACCATAATACCATAACTTAATCTGACATCTTGTTTAAGAGGTACCTACTATGCAAACAGAACGGAAGTTTTACATAAATTAATACATATTAGAAAATACAAATCTGATTTGAATATTGTAGGTAATGTTGTAAATAACATTCCTTTAAATATAAATTACTACTAGATTATATACTTATTATTCAGAAAATAAGTTCTCAGAAACTAGAAATTTGTAATTTTCATTTTTAATTTAAATATTAAGTTTTTTTTAATATGACAAGTACTTATCAGAAGATACAAACAAATAGTTGATATAAACCTAAGTACTGTTACACAAGTTACCACACACTTTTAACAGTTTTAATCGTCAAACATATTAGTTACTACTGCCCGACATTTTGGATGCTTTTCAGCAGCCGTATATCCCAAGGCCTCGTGTTATATTTTATGTTGTAATATATCTCGGGTTTTGTACTGTAAAAGTGTTTTATTTAACGTTGATGTTTTTGTCGGGTACTGCCCATGGATTTCTAAAAGTCCTAAGTTACAAATATTATTAGCGCATTATATTGAACCAGCAAACCATAAAATACAATATTCATTTTGATCGCGTCTTACAGTTGCTTTCCTAAAAACTCATAATTTTTACATCCTCTATGCAAAAATTATGTTAATTCGATGATTACTATGTGGAACATTTGACACTAGCGTATTTATGGTTGTCAACAGATTTCTGAAGATAAGTATGAATAATTTATTAAAATATTAATAACCGACTTTTACCTACATTTTTATTAGGTAATTTCTGTCAAAATATTCGAAACGACTTACTCTATCGTCTCTTTATATTGTTTGCTCTATCGTTGATTTATATATGAGCCTACTGCATTGTATCTTTAATTACTTATTACCTACTTAACTAACAAGGAAACATACAAATTCTGACTGAAGTAATCTCATTGTTTATTTATTTTGAATGGCTATCGCAAATGGTTTAAAAGACTAATGACCACAATAAAATAATAAAGATTATCATTATAGCTTCAATTAAAGTCATTTGAAAACGCTGTAGGGCCCACTAATCGGACTTACTAATAAATACCTTTTTCGAAATAAGCTTTATAACTATGCTATCTAAAAATACTTAGTTAAAAAACTGCTTCCAACTTACTTATATATTTTATATATATTAATGTCAAGAACAACATACTGAGAATTTGTTTCATTGAAATGAGACAGGTTTACAAAGATGAAGTCGCGGTAACGACCAGTTAAAAAAAATAATTTAAAAATCAAAAATAAATTGAAAAAATCTGTGCTGCCGTGCTGTTTCTTTACTAATTGAGCTATCGAGTACCTACAACAACACGGGACGCTGACGATGCCGGTTCAAGTCTTGCTCAAGTCGAAAATTTTTTTCAATTTATTTTCGGTTTTTAAATTATATAGTGCCTTAAAAAAAAACGCGAAGACACCGTTAGTAAATTCTACAAGGATCCGGCCAGTTTCGCCAAATACCAACTTCGACGGAACAGATGGCGCTAGCGTAGCAATTTTTACTTTGACGTCAGAGACATCCTCCATCTTTAGTCTCCCCGTGACGACGGCTGTTGCAAATCATCCGAAACGTCGGGCCTAAGTTAAAATCATTTTCAAATAAGTTTAACTAATATATCGCGTTTTAAACCGTTTAAGTGTTTTATTTAAATGTGTACTACTCGCGTAAACTATAGACAGTATTTATACAGTGCCTTCATTTGCAATAAATAATAACGAATTTTTCAAACAAAAATGAAACCAAATAAACGGTGGAAGCAATAAATGCGAAAGTTTTATCTTATTGCGACACAATTTCACAAAAAGCTTGCGGTATACAATACGGTAGACACAAATACGTTTCTTGAATAATAATTTATTTGTATGTAGCTTTTATATTTCATAAGGATTAAATAAAAGACAAAGAAAAAACGAGTTTGATAAATAAATAACAAGAAAATAGAATTAAGTTAATTGTAATTTTATAATCGTTTAATTCCAAAGCAAATAATCCCAAAATTATGTTAATAGTATGTAAAAAATACAAGTAAAATTTAATAAAAAAGTAAATAAAGGTAGGTAAAGTTGAATTAAATTTACCGCACTGAATATTTGGAACTAGTTCCTCTCCTTGACGAGTTTTATCTACAGTTATAACTTTAAGTTTAATTTTAGTTAGGCCTAACGTTTGACGAACTGAGGTCATTCTTATAGTAAACAGATGCACATAGCAGGTAGGCTTATAAAAAACGGTTCTACACATCTGCCCTTTAAGGCTTCAGCGAAAGTTAGTGTTTAAATCTGTTGCAACAAGGTTCAAATTTGTGTGTATATTATTTAATCTGCTCGATGCCATGCTTGAAATAAAATCGAACTTTAATGATATTAACTGAAGGTTCAAATTTAAATACACTAGAATTATTTACGCAACGGAAGTTTTGAACCACTTGCCAGTAAGTTTTATTTTGCTTTTAAAATCACATGTAGCCTGCCTTATGAATTATTGTACTTCGAGGAAGAAAATCGTATCTCTTAATATTAATAATACACTAAATATGTACCTATATGAGAGAATTCACAGTTCGAAGTTATAAAATACTAGCTGAGCCACAAACTTATTTTGGGTATATATATATTTTTTTACGCAAACCTCCTTCTCAGCTTTTTAAATTAAGGCTGT